TCGCTTCGCAGGGAGAACGCGGAGAACATGTACTACTTCTCGGAGCTGGCGCTGACCCTGAACGAGCAGGAGGAGGGCGTGGCGCCCACCGACAGCCGCCTGCGGCCCGACCAGCGGCTGATGGAGAAGGGGCGCTGGGACGAGGCCAACACCGAGAAGCAGCGGCTGGAGGAGAAGCAGCGCCTGTCCCGCCGCCGCAGGATGGAGTCGTGCGCCTCGGGCTGCGCCGCCGAGGAAGGTAGGGAGCCTGGAGGGAGGGAGAGGCGAGGGGGAGAGACCGAGAGAGCGATGAGAGATGAGGTTGGCGGGAGAGGGAGAGGAAGGGGAGAGAGCGCAGGTGGAGGACAGAGTGACGGAGAAGCGGGGAGGGGCCAGACAGGGGGAGGGGGAGAGGGCAGGGGGAGTGCAGGCGGGTGCGCTGAGAAGAGGAAGGATCTGGCAGGTAGAGGTGTGTGTGCGCGTGCGCGGGTCAGGTGGAGAGAGAGGGGTAGATAAGGGGAAGAGAGGGAGAGAGAGAAGACTCCCACGGCCAGGAGACAGGGTGCAGGGGCGGCCTGGGAGCTGGCCTCTGACTCCCCAATCCACCACCGGCCCAGCAGAGAAGGAGTCTGACAACTACATGCCCCTGTGGTTCGAGAAGAGGCTGGACCCGCTGACCGGGGAGACGGCCTGTGTGTACAAGGGCGGCTACTGGGAGGCCAAGGAGCGGCAAGACTGGCACATGTGCCCCAACATCTTCTGAGCACCCTCTGCGGCCCATTCAGGCACCTGCCCCGCCAGGTCCCCCCTTTCTTTAATGCACTCAATTGAATACTGAATGGCCCTCCCCACCCACATTCATTTCCTTTCCTCTTTTTTTTTTTTGACCCTTGTTTTCTCCTTTTCCTACAATGAAACTTTTGGGGGGCTCCTCTCTTCGATTAGAAGGGGGAAGGGCCGACCTGGGTTCTCTTCAGCCCCCAGGTGCGCCAGGTCACCCGTGCCCCCTTCCTCATGGACTTGGGGGCCCCATGGGCACCCCAGTTCCTACAACTCAGGCCGGCTGGCCCGGGCCAGGGGCGGTCCAGGTCACCAGCCCCTCGTAGGGAGCCTCTTTTGACTTTTTTTTAAGAAAAAAAAAATTTGCATTTCTTTTCCAGCCATGAGGTTTAGTAATATTTTTAGCACAGCACTTAGTACTAGCTCTCCAAGTGTGCTTCCTTGCCGTACATAGCCCTGGCAAGACCCTCCCTTCCCCTTTGCCCTCCCCCCCTTTTTAAAAGACATCTGAAAAGCCAGACCCCCCCCTGAGTTGGGAGCACTTGGTAGCTCAGCACAGCAAGGCCCTGCCCAGCCCCCTCCCCAAGAGCCTGGAGCCCACAGACACCCCACAGCAGGGGGGTCGGGACAGGGGGACTGCTGAGGGTGTTGGCGACTCCCTAACCCCAAAGAGGCCAGGAAGGCTGGAAGGCAGGGCCTTGCAGGTGCTCCCCACCGGAGAACAGGGCCCCAAATCAGCAATAAGGAACAAACCCTCGGCTCGACCTGGGCTGGTGACCCGGGGGCCCATCCCTGCGCCTCCCTTTCCTTGTCCTGATCTGGGGTGCTCCAGCTCATCGACCCCTCCCCCCGACTCTTTATTTGCCTAATTTATATATATATATATATGATATATAAATATATAAAATAGCTATTTTGCTTAAATTTCTATGATATGTAAAAGTGAAAAATGATGAAGACAGCATTCCTGTCTGAGTTTAGCCTCCGGTCAGCTGTGCGCTGCCCTTTCCTGCTCCTTCCAGTGGCTTCTGCCAGCCTTGGAGAGGACTGGACCATGGTGACCACATCCCAACCCTCAGAACCTCCCTGTCCCCCCTTCCCACTTCAGTTTGGTCCTGAAAGTTCATCTTGAGCTTTTCTTTCTACTCCAGGACTGGGATTTCTTTTTTTTTTTAATTAAAAACAAAAACAAAAAACAAAACACACAGAAGTGAAAACACCAATGTATGAAATGCCTTACGATGCTACTCTGGAGGGGGGGTAAAAGGGGTGTCCATCTGCCTCTCAGAGCTGTGGAGTGTACCTCTTTCCCCAGCACTGTGTGTGAGTGAGCACCTTCTGACTGTAATAAAAACTGAAAAACAAAAACAACAAAACCCTTGGCTTTGGAGTTTTCCACGGTCTCTGGTGGGAAGAAGTGGGGGAGGGGCTGCAGGTGTTAAAGGGACAGTGACCTTTCACGGAGCAGCAGCAGTTTGAGGAGCCAGGGGCTTTATTCTGTCCAGGTCTCAAGCAGCAGGGGGCAGGCCTGTGGGGGTTGGAAGATCACAGCTTGGCCCAGATCCCTGCCCCATGCTGTAGCTACCACCACCAACTTCACGTCTTACTGTTCCTAGCCTGCCCAGGGAAAGTCCAAGGCACCCACAGCCCTTCAAGAGGGCCGGCCTGCCTGCCTTCTGCATTGCTTTAGTTGCTTGACAACAGTGGCCTGGTTGCTTCTGTTGCCTCAGTTGCTAGGCAACGCGGGTCACAATCTGCTGAGATGAGGCCCAGTGCTGGAGGCCAGGGGAAGGGGTGAGGCAGGCCGGACGCCACAGGGCCATGGGAGCCCAGATTCTCCTTTGCTGCCTGGATGCCCAGCGCCACACCATCCACACTGGCTCTGCAGAGCTGCTTCAAGCCTATGGGGAGGAGGCCACTGGTGAGTGGGGACAAAAGAGCTGGAGTGGCAGCTGTCCGTGGAATGGCAGGGAGGAGGTAGCCCAGGGATGGAACTGGCCCTGAGGGGAGAGGAAAAGCCGGTCAGGACAGGGAACAGACTGCCTGGGGGCAGCCTAGAGGTGACCAAAGAGCTTGGGTTGGACCAGGGGAACTCTGAACAAGAGCCACCGGACCAACCAGACAGCACTTGGTTCCCTGTATACCAGCCACCACTATAGAAAATTTAAAGGATCTGCAGTGTAATAGACTACAAGGGACCATAGACAGATCCCACAAAGCAGTGGAAAGTATGTCAAAGACCCTTATGGGGATGATTGAAAAATACCTTGAGTTCAGAGGCAAATTACCATCTTCACAGATGGGCCATCACTGCTGATTCCAAAGCTACAAGTGTAACACAGTCCCTTATTGAAGTTTTATCAATATCGCTTTAAAAATTAAGCCAGCTGGGAGAGACGGGTGCAAGCCTAACTATTTGGGAAGCTGAGACGGAAGAATCGTGGTTCAAAGCCAACCCCGGGCATAACAGTTCTTACCACTTCATCACCATCAATGGCTGGGTGTGGGGGAAGGTATCTGTCATCCCAAGTGACACGGGGCATACAGATAAGAGGATCACTGCCCAGGGCAGCCGGGGCAGAAGCAGGATCCTATCTTGAAAATGATGCGGGTGGACTGGAGGTGTCACTCAAGTGGTAGAGCATCTGTCTTGCTAGCATAAGGCACTGAGTCCCATCCCCAAGACTGCCAAAAAGAAAGTAATTTGACAAGCTGGTGAGATTTCTATGAATGGAAGAGTAATTGCACACCCAAAAATGGCTAAAGTTTTTTCAACATTAAAAAAATCAGGAGAGTAACTCCCATTTCTTGCATAGGGAAGCAAGAAATCTGTTTCTCTCCTTTCTTTTTCTCCATCCCCTAATGCTGTTATACTAAAACAAATCCTTGCTAACATTTTAAAAAAAAGAAACACATAAAACAGGAGAAAACCAACAAGGGCTTGACATACAGATAGATACCTAAACAAGTTAGAAAGCCCAAACAATGTACTCTGGCATTGCACAGTGTACTGGGCACTCTCTGGCATACTGAGCCCTCTGCTGATTTGTTCAACTCCATCAGGAGCTGTGAGCTCCAGGAGGGTGGGTATCTTGCCGCACCCACAGTGGCTGGCCCTGTATAAATGACTATTGAATGAACAGGCCAGGAAGACAAGCTAGAGCCCCCAGGCCCAGAAAGGCAGCCTCGTAGGCAGCAGCAAGCAGTGTGGCTGCAGCTGGGAGAGTCTCTCAGGGGAGTCCGAGCAACTCCCGATTCTCCCAAACTCTACAGTGCAAACTGTTGCTCCTGATTCTCCCAAACTCTACAATGCAAACTGCTGTTCCTGACAGACTGGGGCTGGAGTGTGACAAAATCTTCTGTATGGAGAAAGACGAGGCTTAGGGATCTTCCACAGAGGCAAGTTCCAAAGAGTATGTAACCCAGAAAATAGCATTTAAACTGGTCCCTTATCAAAGTTCTATCTGCATCTTTCAAACACTGGACAAGTTAGTTGGGTGAGGTGGCTCCAACCTGTAATCCTATCTACTTGGGAGGCAGAAGCAGGGGCATACCGGTTTCAGGCCAGCCTGGGCATAAAAGTTCACAGACTCCATCTTACTGTACGGCTGGGTGGAGTAGCGCATGCCTGTCTTCTCTAGCAACATGGGGGAAGGACACGGTATTCTTTTTCTAAAGCCGGCTGACATGTGTAACTTCAAAAAACAAAAAAGGACAGTGATCAAATATAAAAAAAAAATATTCAGTAAAAATTCACTCCTTCAGGAGTGGAGTGGCTTTTCTTTTTGTTGACAGTCCTGGGGCTTGAACTCAGGGCCTGGGCGCTGTCCCTGAGCTTTGTTTGTTTAAGGCTCGACCTCAGCCACTTGAGCCACAGCTTCAGGTCCAGCTTTTGGGGTAGCTAATTGGAGATAAGAGTCTCATGGAGGGCTGGGAAGGTGGCTTAGTGGTAGAGCGCTTGCCTTGCATGCCTGAGGCCCTGGGTTCGGTTCCTCAGCACCACATAAGCAAAAAAAAAAAAAAAGCCGGAAGTGGCACTGTGGCTCAAGTGGTAGAGCGCTAGCCTTGAGATGAAGAGCTGAGGGACAGTGCCCAGGCCCAGAGTTCAGGCCCCACAACCGGACCCCAAAAAAAAAAAAAAAAGTCTCATGGAGAAAAAAAAAAAGTGTCATGGGCTTTTCTGCCTAGGTTGGCTTTGAACTGTAATCTTCAGCTAGGATTTCAGACATGAGCCACTAGTGCCCAGCATAGAGTACTTTTTCAGCTTGTGCCAATGAGTTTCATCCCCAGTACTGCCAAAAAAAAATTCTCACAAATCGAAGACCATAGGAAATACAGCCCAGCCAAGCAGGGTTTGCTACAGACACGCATGCACACATGGTTGATTTGGGGAAGCTTTGCCTGGTAAATCATTCCATCAGCTAGTTGAAAGAGGACTTTCCTTTCTGGCAATATGGTGGGCTTGTTCCTAGAAAATACTCTCTTGTAGCCAGGTGTGGTAGTTCATGCCTCACTACCCAGGAGGCAGAGACCAGGAGGATCTGGGTTCAAAACTGTCCTGCGTAAATAGTAAGATCCCATCTCAAGTTCAGGCATGGTAGATTGCACCTGTAATTCCAGGCATGTGGGAGATATGGGTAGGAGGATCCTAGTCTAAGCCCACAGGAGCATAAAGCCCTAGACCTTATATGAAAATAAGGCGAGAAAGTTTGGGGGCATGGTTCAAGTGGTAGAATGGCAAAACAAAACCCAATTAGATTAAGGATAAATCTCCAAAAGAACAAAAACAACAAAAAGAACAAATCTATTTCCAAAGTGGAGGAGAAAATGTTAGTATTCCCAAAGTATCTTTTAAGAACCAAAATACAGATATTAACACAAACATACTAAAACACTATTATCAATGAAAACTTATTAAAACACAATAGTTTCTTGTGGGCATAGACTTTGATGAATCATTGTATAAAACTTGAAATTATTGGGCTGGGAAGGTGGCTCAGTGGTAGAGCGCTTGCCTTGCATGCCTGAGGCCCTGGGTTCCATTCCTCCTCAGCACCACATAAGCAAAAAGGAAAAAAGCCAGAAGTGGTGCTGTGGCTCAAGTGGGTCAAGTGCTAGCCTTGAGCTGAAGAGCTGAGGGACAGCGCCCAGGCCCAGAGTTTAGGCCCCACAACCGGACCCAAAAACAAACAAAGAGCTGGAGAATTACTCAGTAGGAGATTTCTTGCCTAGTATATGCAAGGTTCCTGGGTTCAATCTTCTACATAGCAAAAACAAGAGGAAAGAAAGGGAAGGACTTGGAAGGGAAGTGGAAGATAAGAAGGCAAAGGAAAAGTACAAGAAATAGAGACACAGAGAAATAAAAATAAAACGACAGCAATAAAGAACTGGAGGTAGGGGGCTGGGAAGGTGGCTCAGTGGTAGAGCGCTTGCCTTGCATGCCTGAGGCCCTGGGTTCGATTCCCAGCACCACATAAGCAAAAAGAAAAAAGCCAGAAGTGGCGCTATGGCTCAAGTGGTAGAGCGCTAGCCTTGAGCTGAAGAGC